TTGTAGTGTAGGGTTAATGGTTGGACTTAATTATTCCAAGGGTCTTTTCCAACCTGAATTATTCTATGATTCTAGTCGAATTGCTGAATGTCCAGCTAGAATAGCCACTGGGTGATTACACACCATCAGATACAGAATCATAGAATCATAGAATTGCCAGAAATAACCCTTCCTTGGTTCCCCTTACCCCACTACAGAATTGAGAAAGGAGGAAAAGCAACATGCATTCCCAACCCCTTTCAATGCTTACTCCACAACATGAATTCTCAAATAAAACAGGAGATGGGGCTGAGTCAAAAGGCACTTCCCAAGGCCTTTATTGATCCTGGTAGGTCAGAGAAAGGGGGAAATCTGACCAAACTCATGTCAAGAGCAGGGGATGCTCACAGGATCCATCCCTAAGCCCTTTCTCTGCTTATACAGCACTAAGCACCAGAGGGCCTTAAACCTTAATAAGGCCTGTAGGTAGGCCAGATACAACTGTGAACACTTGTGTTTCAACTTCTGTTTTGAAATAACAGATAAAGTCACAAGTGGATTCAGCCTATACAAGTAAAGTTAATGCTGCTGTCCAAAGTACTACAAGTAGCCTTTAAACATCTCCGACGTTTGGCATAGGAAATATAAAAAAGCTTGTGCTGACACAATAATCTCCAAAAAAAAAAAAAAAAGGACTGATGATATTCACTAAATCACTGTTCTCATGCCACCCTTTACTCATTTCCTAGCCTCCCTGTTCCTTACCCTATAAAAAGCCTGCAAGGCAAAGTTGAGGGAATTTGATTAAATACTTCCTCCTCTCAGGAAAAATAAAAATGGGACAAAAGAAAAGGAGCAAAGGATCACAAATGAAAAGCTCACAGAAAGCCAGGCAGAAAATAATTTTAAAATACTCACCTACAGTAGCCTCAAGGCCCATTTTACTGACTGCAGAGAACATGTATAACTGTGAAGACAAAAACCCAAACATGTTGAATACCAGCACATGGACTAACCCTAGGATACCCATTTTCTCCATGTTAATTACCTTAGCTGGTATTATGTGAAGGTCAGTTCTAGGGTTTACTAAACCCTTTCAGACCACAGCAAAATTATTGTTTGTTTGGACACAGGAGGGAGACAAGAGGTATGCTCCTAACCCCCAGTATGTCCTCTCAGAAGAAAGGGCTATGTTAGGAGACCACTCAACTTTAAATTCTCAAATTGCAAGGTTCAGGACAGGACAGAACACTGTTCACAAAAGAACCAAAGAAAAATGCATCTCATATGTCCAACTGACAGTTTTTCAACAGCTACAGCACAGAAATTTTAGCCTCTGAGCACATAAAATTCTGGTTAAGAACTGAACATCAAATTCTGCAAGAAAGTGAAAAACTTTCCATAAAATTCTATAACAAGCAATACATTGGACTTGTTTAGTAAAGGCAGCCCCAAAGTCTGTACTTGCTCACATGCTCAACATTTCATGTCAGCTTTTAACCTGGCCTGAACTCTTTATATCCAAGTTAGGAGATGCTGTCTGCAGATCTTGAAATGCCGTCAAAGTCACAGCTGCAAGAGAGAGAAAAACTCTTACTGTGGGTGCTGCAAGCAATAACATCATTCCACAGGTTGATGCCCTCTTCTCCAGCCTGTCTGAAATGAGGCCTGCCAAAATTCCACCTGAAAGAAGACACAGGTATGTGAGGAAAACACTCTGAACGTTTTACACAAGACATCAGTTATATTTAACCGATTTCACTGAAACCGTAATCCAGATTAAAACAATACAATATGACTTTTAACGTACAGTTATACACAGCAGCACAGAGCATGTGACTGACAACATAATTTGCACTTAGAGATATCCTTACTAACCCAACTGGTTTTGACTTGGAAGATAACAGAGGCAGATGGTTGTTCTTCTTCATTGTTTATTCCAAGCAAATATCCAAGATGACAGAGGTGGGAGTGGAAGAGATGCAAGAAATATTTTAAAAAATCATTGTTCTACTGCTTTTGAATGCAAAAAGCCTTTTCACTAGGTGCCATATGGCCCCACTGCTGGCACTCTGGAACTCAGCTGTGCCCAGATACTCACTGGTCTCTTAGCTCCTCATGCAAGAAAAAAAATAAAAGAACACAAAACACCTGTGGCCATTCACCTCTGTACCCATTAAAAATACACCACTGTACAAGCTGGGATGGTTCTGTTATGTCAGAGTGACAAAAGAAAAATATTTTGATTAGTTGGAGTTACCAAGACACCTGGGCCAGAGCTGATGGAGCTAAAAGATTCCATAACGTTTCACTCCTACAATCTGTGCTGGACAATTTCATTTGCTACATGATTTGTTCAGTCTGAAGATACTTTGCCAGGTTTTCAAAGTCCATCCTAGCTCTCAGCTTACTACCATTCTTCTTCAGTAGACATAAGGCACAAGGAATAATAACATATGTAAACTCTGTGTACCACAGCTTTTCCTAAACTGGTGTGATTAAGGATGAAATATTAATCTTAAAACTTACCAAAGATTCCACCCACATCAAACAGTGTAGAAAGGTCCCCAGCTCTTTTGGCATCAAGATGCTCTGGTAAGAGAAGTAAAACAATTGTCTCATTTCCAGATTATAAAAGAGAGAAATCTCACCATAGTGTTGTCATGCTAGGGTAAAGGCATCTGACAGCACTACTATTTATTCACAAGCTACCATAAGGTGTCATTGTATAAAGACAAATCACATCTGGGTATTCATGGATACAGTCTTTTCAACGAAATTACACTCACAGAAATTTTCTCACTTCAACAATCATAGAATGGTGTGGAAGGGACTTTTAAAGGTTGTTTAATGCAACGCCCCTGCAAGGAGCAGGGGTATCTTCAACTTGACCAGGTTTCTCAGAGAGACACTCAACCTGATCTTCAGTGCTTCCAGGGATGGGGAATCTACTGTCTCTCTGGGCAACTTGTTCCGGCATCCTCATCATAAAACATTTCATCCTTATATCTAGCCTAAATCTACCTTCTTTTAGTTTAAAACCATTACCCCATGTCCTATCACAACACAAACTGCTAAAAAGTCTGTCCCCATTTTTCTTATAAGCCCCCTTTAAGTACTGAAGAGCTGCAGCAAGGCCTCCCCAGGTGGGGATCACTTTATAGACCTTCATCATGGAGGCCTCTATCATGTGACCAGTAATATTCATCATTTAGTTGCATCTGGCCGCCCTGCTTGGCACAACATGTGCTGTGCAGTTTATCAGGGACTGCAAAGCGAGAGTGATTTCCTCAACTCCACTGTTTGCCACGGGCAGCAAGGAGCACTGTTTGCACCCACCTACATATAGACTAATGTAGTTACTAATGCCCTGTGGGGTCAGATTTCCAAGAGTACACGAGAAGCTGGGCAACCCAGTTGTATTATATTAAGTGTGAAGTTTCAGAAGGAGCTGAATTTCTAAACCTCTTCAGTATTTTTTTTAAAGCCTCTAAAATACATTTGAAAGAGTAGTAAGTGCTAAAACAGTGGTGGCAGTGGCACTACCGTAACCTCACCAACATCTGCCACAGCACAGGTGGCAGTTTGGTGGTAAATATCATTCAGCTTCCTATTACAAGCCCGCTGCTTTCAAGTTACCCAGTCCTGCAGGAGCACTGGTTATTTGGAGTTCCTACACAATAGCCTTGAGCTACAGGACCTGCAGCTCGATATGTTTTCATAGGGTGTTCAACCTGTCTGTCTCTGCTGGTTGTTACTGACATACTTGTCCATAACAGTTTTTTTTTTCAGTTGGGAGTTTAAAGGTCATACTATGGCTCCCAGGAACAAGAATTTTTCGGGCTAGGGAGGGCTCCTTTCTCTGCACTCTACAGCACAAAACAAAACAGCAATACAGAGCACATAAAGAAGCTCACTTCATTTTTTTTGTATGCATTTTAATAAGGTACTTCAATCACATAAAAACTTTCTAATAAAGTAAACTTTTTTGATTGGTAAGAGCCAAATACAGTATTTATGCATGGAATTACTGAAGAGAGGATAGATTTTTTTTTTTAGTTTGCTTTGAAAATGCCCTCTCATAGTACTGATTTAAAAATACGAGAAATCTGTTAGTTGGTGTCTTACAACTCTCCTGCTACTGTAGCAAAGACAGCCTGTTTCAGAATCAATAATGCTTATTTTATTATTTATTTGAAGCTTGTATTTCCAGACATTTCATAGTCATAATTCTGTATCTCTTTACTATGATACTTACCTACATTTGTGATATACAGGGGGAGCCAGAAGAGGAAAGTATAGCTCACCAGCTTTGCAAACAGAAGACAGAGTGAGAACTCTATGACTCCCTGAGAGAATAAAGAAAAGAAGTTAGTATCTGAAACCAAATTCAGCCTTTGTCAAAAGACAATTATGAAAATGGTTTCCAAGAAGCATTTAGGCTTTTCTTGTTATCTTAAGAATTTCCAAGAAGCATTCTTCCCCCGAGAGCACAAAGCTTACAATCAGAGCAGACTGTGGTATTTTACTTACATGTCTTCTCTTCTCTTAATTGTACTGACTTGACCAAAGAGAGAAAACTAAAATAAACAGGAAAGATTTTGACACTGTTTGGGAAATCTGCATCACTTAGTTTCCTCATGTAAAGAGTTTTTATGTAGTATTATAGCAGGTTTGGAGTGCATTCCAGAGAAATTAGCATATTTTTGTATTCTTTAGATGGGTTCAAGATTTCTACCTTATCGTTCAAGCCTTTACAAAAAGCCAGTAAATAAGTATGACAGTTCAAATGAGTAAGTGGCAAGAGCATGCTGCAGACAGGGTATATGCCCATTTAAAATACTAATTTGTTTAATCTTCTTTCCTGCAGAGCACATGAAAAATATACTCACTGCACAGAGTTGCAACTAAACTGCCCAATTAACCTATCTTTATGGTCCTCATCATCTGATATTCTTTTGTTTGAAATCTGATTTCTTAAATCCCTGATTTTGCAGTTATCTGTTCAGACAACACACATACACAGCTGGCTCTATTTTGCATACAGCTGTGACCCTTCCCAACAACAGGCAGGAAAAATACCACTGAGTTGCAGAGATTCCAGGTGGCAGCCACAGCAATATTTCTACTCATTACTTCCACTTTGCCACAGAAAACCAGTTGAGACAGAAGACCAGTCTGGACAGAATAAGATGATATGCAGGAATACAGTGGTTGGATGCTGGGGATTTTTTTCCCTTACCTTTACATGTTGTCCAAATCATTTTGCATATAATTCTACTTGGGCATCCCACTGAAGGGACAGTAGCAAAAGCCTTACTAAAATCCAGAAAAAAACTACATTCACTGCCTTCCCTTCGCCCACTGGGTGGGTGACCTTGTCATATAAGGACATCCAATAAGTTAAACAGACTTTACCTTTGTGAACCCATGTTGACTGTGCCCAATGACTGCATTGTTCTTTAAACACCTTTCAGCAGTGACCAGTATAATCTCCTCCATATTTTTTCCAGGAACTGAGGTTAGACTAACAGCTCCGTAGCTCCCTGGGTCTTCCCTTTTTGTAGGCTGGAAGAACACCAGCCAAATTCTAGTCAGCAAGGACCTTCCCAGAATCCCAAGGATGATTGAAAGGGGTCTGCTACCTCCTTCAGTACTCCTGGATGAATCCCACCAGGACCCACGGGTTTGTGAACACTCAGCTGATCCAGCTGGTCCCTTACGATCTCAGAGGCCGCAGACGTAAAGTCACCGTTCCCACACTTGTGGTCCTTCGACTCAGGGGACCAGGCAGCCCAAGGTTTATCAGTATTATTAAAGATTGAGGCAAAAAATGCATTTTACCTTATAGATTGTTTTAGTATTTGTTATAAGGAGGTAAAAAGAAAAAAAAAAATCAAAACCAAGGCATTTATACAGGTACTGGAGCCTAGGTGCTTCTAGTTGCCAAGATGCAACCAGTAAGCTTCTGCCACCTGCTTACTGGCAACTGGGAAGAAAGTACCTGTGTGTGAACTTCCATCCCTTCTCTGACAGGGGCACACTTTGCCTTGTTTCTCAGAATCTGCTTTAGCCTACATACACCAGAGCTGCCAATCAAAGCTTGTGATGCAAAGTTATCAATCATCAACCACTCCACCTAGAACTTCATAGAGATGTGAATTCTGAGGCAAACCTTAGCTCTTAGAGGAACAGGCAAGAAGCACATGTACTCACAGGTATTCGCAAGGCCCCCAAGAAGCTGATGGCTGATGTCCCGTGTCTACCTTCCCCCGGGACCACAACGCTGGAGCTCAGTGTCACACTGCAATTTTCACTGTCAGTAAGCAAATGCTCCATCTCTGGATCCTGCAATTTCATCTCCCAACACCATATGAAAAAGAAAGGAACAGCACATCAAAACACATATCAAGGAATCAAATAATTCCAAAATAAAATAGATAATTATTTTTTTAATTTATTACAGAAAGTTACAGGTTTTAAAAATCCCTTGAACTGGATATATTGAGTATATAAAGTAAAGCTTATAAACAGAATATCAGGTAGAACAAGTCCGGCTTATGTTTGCGTGCATACACTCCATTATGGAATTGAGTTTCTGTTCTACCGTGGAACAATTTCAAGTTGCAAAAAACACAATTCAGTGAAATAAAACACCTTCCAGTCTTCCCCTACCCCACTACATAAATGTGGTCTACATAAAAGTTGCAATCAATCCATTGAGTACAATATGTTTCTATATAAAAGCATGTATTATCTTCTTTCTGTAAAAATATTAAGTCCATTTTTCAGACTCTGTAACATTTATATACAGGCCATCTTTCCAGTTGAATTATGGATACTGAATGTTTTATGCTAAGCAATCACTTATTTTTTCACATCTGTTTCATTTGAGCATTGCAATCCACAGATTTTAAAAGCCTGGAGTTTGCCAATGTAACCTAAGTTGTGAATTCTGAGTTCTTTTCTAGCACTAGGAAGGATTTTACTCTATTAATTCCACCGGCTGCTAAGAATATTTCAGGAGCAAGTTATCACTCAACAGTAACAAGTGATCCCAGTCTAGCCATGAGCATATTTTGTTATTTTTATCCATCTACCATACTGAAGTAAACTCTCAGAATAGAATAGGAAATTTACATCATGCAGCTGTACATAGAAAAAGAAATGTCAGCTGTAAATAGTCCTCAGTACTTCTCCACCTCAGAAAAAGGAACGGATGTAGCTATCCTCACTTTCACTTGCTCACTGAGAAGTTTGCCTAGCAGTGTACTTTTACTACCTATGGATATATTCTACATATTGTCTTCTTTCTGCAATTTTTTTGTGCATTTGAATAAAGCCTTAGTGAAGAATTAAGCCTCAAATATATATTTGGCTGTAGGTTAGCAAGGATAAAACAGCAAGCTATTCAATTTCCTGTAGTTAGCACAAAGATTAAAACTTTCTGATTACTATCTGGTAAGCTGATGGAGGAAAAAGAAAAAAAAATAAAATCAAGTGCTGGACAAATTCAGTTCTGCTATTTTACACGCAGTGTAAAAATAACTTCTGTTTTTAAAGAACTTCATTTAGGAGAAGACACTGGGGAACCATCTGGGCACTGGAGCCCAGACACAATAATAATAGAATCTACCACACAGCATCCAAAATGTTTGTACAGATAGGATGCAAGATTTATGGGAAACCCTGACACCCTGAGGAAACACAAGACAAGAAAAACATTTAGGGACCTCTGACACTGCACTGTAAACCTGAGTCACCCACCATCATCATAAATGTTTATCTTCTGAATTACTGGAGCAACTTCACAACTTGAACTATTCCAACAGTAGTAATTCAAACCATTAGCTGTTAGCACTTCCAAATTAAAAAAAAAAAAAAAAAAGAGAGAAAGAGGAAAAAGAAGGGCTTAAGCAGGGAAGTTCCCCACTGGATTAAATGGAAGACATTTCTGCATAGTGTCTTGAGTGTGTATCTCTTGCACAATTTGCAAAGCAAACACAGCCAAGATTGCCTGAGGTAAAGCTGCTCACTCCTCAGACAGGTGGCTCTAAGTCTATTTAAGAAGAGTGAGTTAAATATTGAAGTGCAAGTAACCAAGGTCCAAATAACTTATTCAGCAACTCATGCTGGAAATTTTTACCAACAATATGGGATTTTTATGCTGCACGTAGCTAAATGATAAACAAAACCAGCAGTTTCTGCTTGGCAGAGATAACAATGTTTAGCCTTGCCAGTCTATCACAGAGTGTGATTCAGCATATGGCACACTCTTCATCTCTGGGGAAGGATTCATTATCCCTCAATTTCGTGCAATTTTTAAGAGGCCAACCTTACATAAGCAGTAACGAACACACAGAGCTATTCAGGTCACACAGCCAAAACCAGATTCTTCTTTCAATCACTGCATATCCTGAATATTTGCTTTCTTTTTCCAGTAATTGAAGAGGTCAAGGAAAAAAAAAAAAATCCGTAAAAGCTGCTACTCCAGTGTGCTTGGAGAAGATCAACTCATAAATGCAAAACATCTGCTGTTTGTACAGGCACAAAAGTTGACTGGAATAATGAGTTCAGTGTAACTGCAACACAACTGCTGTAAAAAGAAAAGATCAACCCTGCCTGGAGAAGAGGAGACTCAGGGGGGACCTGATCACTCTCCACAACTACCTGAAGGGAGGGTGAAGTCAGGTGGGGGTCAGGCTCTTCTCCTGGGCAACCAGTGACAGGATGAGAGGGCACGGCCTGAAACTGCATCAGTGGAGGTTTAGGTTGGATCTCAGGAAGGCCCTCCTCACAGAGAAGGTGCTCAGGCACTGGGATGCACTGCCCAGGGCAGTGGTGGAGTCACCGTCCCTGGAGGTGTTTAAGGAGAGGCTGGATGAGGCACTTAGCGCCCTGGTCTAGGTCATGTGGTGGTGTTGGGTCAGAAGTCTTTTCCAGCCTCAACAACTCTGTGCGATTCTGTGCTTTTTGACAGCCAAAAGATTAAACTTCCGTCACTGGAAGAAAATCAGGAGGTCCAAACAGCAACAAATAAGGATTTTTAATTTGTTCTTAACTTCTTCTTAAACCTTGTTAGGACCTCATATTACAAACATATAACTCAGCTGGCGGTGGGGAAGAATATTGCCAGGATCACCAGCGGGTGCCCTCATGCTTTGCTGCACGTGTTTTCTCTCTGACCTGCTCACAGGGGAGCACCAGTCAGCGTGAGAGGGGGTACGTTTTCCTCACCCACTTGCTACACAGACTCTTAGCGCAGGAGAAGTGGTACTAGCAGAGCTCAAAGAGAAATCTTGGGCTACTAATCTGACTATATTTTATCCCTGTCTTCTTCAGTTGTCTAAAGACACGTGTCGATATTCTTACATCTCCCTCGCTTATGTCCTGACTGGTTGCAAAGTAATATTGCTGACTGGTTTCTGGGTTCAAGACTGGTTTTGGGCAGCCCAAAATGAACATAAATATAGTCAGTACAGAAGGGGTTTATGCTAGTCAGATCAAAATTATGAGCAAAGTGGTTTCTTAGCAAAAATTTCAAAACGTTTTTATCAACACTGATTAGTACACCCTGTGAATGCTGATTATTATTCTATGGGCAACGGATGAAAAGAACAGGAAGTTTCCATCTTCTGTAAAACTCTGAAAGAAGTTCATATCTCAGGATATGATGCGTTAAGTGTACAGAATACAAATCCAAAATTTCCAATGAAAATTTTCAGCTAATATTCCTCATCACAAGATAAAATGTCTTTTTGCTCCCAAATGAGCAAATCCAGAATTTGGTTTCTGGTGAGAATTACCAGCACTTACGGTTACAAATTTAAATCAAGATTTCTATGAATAACTGCTCATATTTAGAACTCTCCATCTCCTAAGTACGTACGTCTATTAGCTTAAAAAGGGAGAGAAGTGAGACTGCAAGGACAGGACAAATGTGATGTAAGTAGTTGAAAGATTTCAAATGAGGCATCATTAAAATATTTTGCAGCGCATTACTTTTGCTGCAATTGAATGAAGATCACAAGAGAAGACCAATTGAGTAAACATACTGTCTTATTCAGTATGGTTTGCAGTAATTACATGAGATAATGCTTAGTTCCTTCATCTGAAATTACATTTGTCTGTGAAGATGGAAGTAGATTTCAGCATCGTAAAAGGAAAAGTAATCTTTAACAACAGCAAATCTACTGTAAATATTCCATATGAGCTTTAGTAAGTCTTCTATTCTATTTTACAATAGCATGTTACATTTTACCTGAGGTTTGCTGGTCTCCTTAGCGTTTAAGGTTGGCATCTGGACTCTGAATCGAGAGGCACCATTCAGGAAGGTTTTGGAACTCTGAAAAACAAAACACCTCCATGCTTGTTGCAAGATACTTGCTGACTACACTAGTGTTAATAATTTCTCTGCAACAACAGTCTTTGTGCATTGTAACATCAATATAACTGCAAATGGAGCATCTTTAACTTAATGACCGTGTACTTGGGGTTTTAAAAGTTCTTATGCAGACCTATGACAATATACATAAAATTCAATCACAAATTTATCTGAGGGCTAACTTCAAACTGTTTAAATAGAAGCAGTATGCAATCCTAGCAGCAACTACAGAAGTTGATTTGTTTCCGGAAAACCGTAATTTTTCACTTCTCTCTCTTTAAGATAAATTTCTATCTCTTTAGTTTATGCTCACTATACTCTGCTAACCCAGAAATCATCTGTGCTCTTATGGGCAGGAGGACTAATAAACAGTTTGAGCATCTCCAGCATGCTCAGCACAGAAATCGGGCAACAAGCTATATTTTAGATCCTAGATAGACCTGATTTTTATACTTATTAACAAGTGCATTACTTATCAGTTCACATAAAAATTTCATTCATTAGAAAACAGCATTCTGAGATCCTCGCTCTGGAAAGATTTACCAGGGACATTAAGGTTTGTCAACAAACAGATTCAAAGTAGGTTTGCAGTCAGGTATTGCTAAGACCCCAAGAGGCACTGTGCATTTCTCAGGAATGAGATATTTAAGTGTCTAATTACACTACGGATCTCACAATAAAAAAAAAACACCACACCAAAAACCAAACAGCAAACCAAATACCACAAAAATCAAACAAAAAACACCAAACCCAGCACCAAACAAAACCCCCAAAATCCACCATCACAACTAACAAAAGAATGTCCATCCTCATCAAACATTTTAATTCAAAATTAATCACTAGGTAATTCTTCCCCAGCGAACATACAAGGATATGCACTGCAGTATTCTTTAGAAAAACTTCCATTTATCAACCAAATCCTTCTAAGGCAGCAATAAATTTCTGAGGATAAACTGAAGTATTTTTGCCTCTCAGTGCAGAGCTGAGCTGCAAGCAATCTTGGGCACACATTCCCCAGAATAAACAAATAACATTCAATCCCCCAGGGTCAGATAAAACAGATTTTTAAATTTTATCTTAGAGAAAATTAGGCTCTTGTCAAAAAAAGTGATTTAGAATAACCTGAAGAAGACAATCCATTATCTAGAGACAAGTCATCTATAAGTAGAAGAAATGACTTTCATGTGACTGTTAAAACCAAGATGTGGTAAGGAGGAAGCGTCTGGGGAAAACGACTAGACTGAGAGGCTGCACATTTCATACTTAGACTTCTTTTCAGAAGATAAAAACTGCAGCCTGCTATCTTTTGAATGCACAAGCACTTTGCCACAGGAGATAAAGAAAGCTAAGTTTCCTAGAAATGCCAAGTCAGGTTAAAGAAAGTTTTTGGAACACAAAGACAGGACTGTACAAACATGCTGCAACTAACATGTTTACCTACGAAAAAAATAAAGGTACAAGAAGAAAAGACAAGAAGCAATGAAAACAGTTTTAAGTCATCACATCTCCTAAACACTGTTAAATCTATTCTTTAACTTCCATTATGGGAGTGCACCAATGGTTAATAAAGCATACTGACTTCGGCACGTATTTGTCCCAGCTATAGCCTTTTGGAAAGTCACAGATTAAGCCCCCAATGCTAGCATATTAAAACATTCCATAATACTCAAATACTTACAAGTACTCGAACATTTGTTTTGAACTAAACTTCAGATTCATAAATTGGAGTCAAAGTGAATGCAAGCAAATGAAGTAAGGAATCAGTGAATAAAGAGTAAGAACTGCACATTCAAGACTCCGTGCCTGGCTTTCTCTCTGTGCTTCTGGACAACTCTGTGAAATCAGATTACTCACCACTACAAACTCTGTAGAAATAGTGGGCTCACGATCATGCTGCAAATAAACAGTAGACCAAATTCATCCAAGGTAGTAATATCACACTGAGGTGAATCTGACCTAGAAATCTACCCGAAGTGCTTCCCTTAATGTTAAGCATTTATTTTAGTAGTGCTTAAAATTAACTGGACTTATTCTTACACAATGAAGTTCAGCTTTTTGGCACCAGCTGGCAGAGCTGCCTGCAGCCAACCAAGGCATCTGTCCAAAGAGACCTACTATAGCCTCATGAGCAAAGCAAGTGTCTGTATTTAATGTCTTCAGAAAAACATTTTGAACTATTTGAAAAAACCACACAGGTTGCTTTAGTTGTCAAAAGAAATGAACAAGCAAAAAAAGGCAGGCAGCATTTTATGCCTGTCAGTAACACAGCTGATTTTTCTTGTTCCCAGTAATAACACTATTTTACTACATGAACCTTCCTTCAATTAGCAATTGGTTTTCTTTACAATCACACTGTCATTCCCACATCTGCATTTGTACATCCTCTTGAACTTCTATTCTTACCTCGGTAATATCCTTAAGTCAGAATACCACCCTCTCTGCAGCAAACAGAAACTGCAATCCCTGTTCACAAAGTATTTGGAATTCCTTGGACTTTGTAGACCACACAGGTCTGAAGAGAGGTATTTGAGCATCACAGACAGCACACAGCTTCCCAAGACAATGGCAAATCTTAATCTGAGAAGGGTCGAAGGCAGATGGGGAAGCACTTTTATAAACCTTCTGCAAGACTTACAGATGTGAATATATGGCACAGGGAAGGAAGAAGCGATGCCTTCTGCTCTGGAGAGCAACGTTTCCAGGGAAATAGAAGGTCAAATGCACCTGGAGCGTCTGGTGAAATGGTAGCCCTCTTCTGGGACTGGGTGAAAGGTTCATAAATGGAAGCAGAAAAAGGATCCTAAAATACTAAACGTTTGTTAAAAAATATCACAAGTAGATAATTGGATGTCATTTTTTTCAGTATCAACTTCTTGAGACATGTGAGCAATGTACTGCGTGGAACTGCTTTCCAGTGAAAGTGTATTTGAAACAAACAAACATTTACTTCTGTAGAGCTTAACAGCAAATTCTGTAAACATTATGCTCTAGGTATTATAAACAGCAGCTGAAATGTTCATGAGAACATTTCTGAACTACATAAAAGCTAAGGAAAAAAAAATGCATCCTATTAGGGGTCTCTAAGAATCACTTAAAATATTCTCCTACTTGATGCAAGTTACTTTAAGAAACGAAAGAGAATTAAATGAAAAATTCAGAGTGCATTGTGAGCACACCTTATCTCACAGTTACCAGGAATAGGAATTCCACAGATCCTTAAAAGTATTCAGAAGCTTTATCAGAAGCACTTCACATGAGGAAAAAAAACCCCATTAACTGGTAAAGAAGAGATAACACAGACTAGAAAAGTTCCCTTAGTTACTATTCAAGAAGAGAGTATTTAAACTGGAAAAGCCATCTCTTTGAAACTACTGGGGAAGCTGTAAGAAAAAAAAAAAGAAAAAACCCACAGCAATCATCTCTGTATGGATGGATTTATGAAAGGCAAGTTCTGCTTGGCTAACCTGTTCTCCTTCTGTGACAAGATGACCCACTTAATGGATGAGAAAAAGGCTGTGGATGTTGTCTACCTTAACTTCAGTAAAGCATTTGACACCATGTACCACACCATTCTCCTGAAGAAATAGCTTAGACAGGCATACTCTTCACTGGGCGAAAAACTGGCTGAGTGGCGGGGCCCAAAGAGTGGTGGTGAATGGAGTTAAATCCAGCTGGTGGTTGGTCACCTGTGGTGTTCCCCAGCACTCAGTGCTGGAGCCAGTTCTGTTTAATGTCTTCATTAATGATCTGGATGAGGGGATTGAGTACACTTCCAGTAAATCTGCAGAGGACACTAAGCTGGGCAGGAGTGTCAATCTGCTCAAGGGTAGGAAGGCTCTACAGAGCGACCTGGACAGCCTGGATCGATGAAGCAAGGCCACTTGTATGAGGGTCAACAAGGCCAAGTGCTGGGTCCTGCACTTGGGTCACAATAACCCCAGGCAGCGCTACAGGCCTGGGGAAGAGTGGCTGGAAACTGCCCAGTGGAAACAGACCTGGAGGTACTGGTCGCCAGCCGGCTGAACATGAGCCAGCAGTGTGCCCAGGTGGCCAAGGCAGCCAACAACATCCTGGCCTGTATCAGGAATAGTGTGGCCAGCAGGAGCAGGGCAGTGATGGAATACAGAAGGGATTGTCCCTCTACTTGGCACTGGTGAGGCCACACCTCAAATCCTGTGTCCAGTTTTGGGCCCCTCACTACAGCAAAGACACTGCTGAGGTGCTGGGGTGGGTCTAGAGAAGGGCAGTGAAGCTGCTGAAGGGACACAAGCACAAGTCTTAAGAAGAGCAGCTGAGGGAACTGGGGTTGTTTAGCCTGGAGGAAAGGAGGATGAGGGGAGACCTTCTCACTCTCTACAACTACCTGAAAGGAGATTGTAGCAAGGTGGGAGTCAGTCTTTTCTCTCAAGTAACAAGCAACAGGACAAGAGGAAACAGCCTCAAGTTTTGCCAGTGGAGGTTCAGACTGGATATTTGGACAAATTTCTTCACCAAAAGGGTTGTCAAGCACTGGAACAGGCTGCCCATGGAAATAGTTGAGTCATCATCACTGGAAGCATTAAGAAAATGTGTAGCTGTGGTGCTTAGTGACATGGTTTAGTGATGGACCTGACATTGCTAAATTAATGGTTGGATTTGATAATCTCAAAGGTCTTTTCCAACATAAACAATTTTATGATTCTATAACCCTCTAGCATGGGAAAACATATCTGAGATTCCCTTGAGACCTGCCCTCTGACACTTTCCCAACAGCCCTTAATTTGCCCTCACACATAGGAAACCCTCAGACCTTCTTCACCAATTCCCCCCCATACTTCCAAAGAACTGGCTGAAAATGTGGCAGACCCAATTGTGCACAGCTTCTTGGGAGCCAAAGGTGAAAGAGCCTGGAGCAACATGCTGCTCTAGGTTTTGGTTACAGTAGAGACAAGCACGTACCAGAGTCTTATGGAACATGAAACAGAGATGAATCTGCAAACACACTCCTAAATGAAACCAGGACACAAATGACATTCTGTTATGACAAGTTATACACAGCTGGTCTTCCTAATGCTCTGTTTTTTGGTTCCCTTTCCTTGCTTTTTATTTTGTCTTGTTCCATTTGGATTACCTTGCTCCTCTTGGGTCATGGCTACAAAAGGCAAGAAAGAAAACATCTTCTCATCTAGCAGCTAAAGCTTTTTAAGGCACGTATTTTTTGCGATTGACATGGATTTCTACATAACTTAATTCTGAGTACATAAAACGTCTCATGAACATTTGTTTCAAAAGCATTGGTCAAACATCTTACTACCAGAGCTTAACCACTTCCAAATTACTTTTAAAACAGCATTTCAACAATCTGATAAGAGAGAAAGTATTCTAGAAACAATCTTAAAAGCTCTGAGTTTTGCTGCCACAATGACAAAAGGACGTACACACAATGTTCAGTAATCTGAAGTATAGACATTTGCGTGCACACACACACATCAACAATGCCTTAAGTAGTCAATCTCTGATGCTAGACCGTGTCAAGAGTTGCTTTCTCCTTTGTGATCCAAGCAGTATGCATTCCACAGTTTGTGTGTGTGTGTGACAGTGTATTTACAGTTTGGTCAAGTTCACCACCTTGCCAAAATTTAAACCTTCAAAGTCTAAGTTCTCAGGCAATAGCAAGACCACTGTCTTAATACCAGGAGAACATGACTGACGTGTTCTAAAAAGTCACTATTTTTAAAAAACAATAAAATAAACCATCTGCATATAAACAGCACCTTCATCATGCTTGAGGATTTCAAAATTTGACAGGCAAGTCCTAAGCAATACGAACTTATGTCAAATTTAGACCTACTACAAGCAGTGGGTACAACTACACAATGTTCAGAGGTCCTGTCCCTTTCAACCTAAATTATTCTACGATACCACAAAAACTTTGTCACGCGACTCGTACCACTAAGCACAGGTTATGTCTCTCTCCTTTTCACAGTTCTTCATCAGTGTCAGTTCTGGCTAAGGGCCATATTATACCATGACTAAACTCATCACCACAGACTATTTGCTCCAATCTCTTCACCTCAGCTTAATATTCATCCCTTGTCTTCTCTTTTCCCTAGCCATGTGGTCCTACTTCCCATCCCCAAGCCCACAGATGCATGGTCCATTGATGCTATGTCAGAAAAAGGGCTGTTTGCTCTTTCTGCAATGCCAAATACAGGGTTCTCAAACAGTGAGACCTTCCACAGGATATGGCTGGCAGCTATCTCATGTCATATGTAAGCACGGAAGGCAATTGCAGGAGACAAAAATGCTCTGAAGATGCCCAGGAAGACTGGAGGAAAGTAAGAAAACTTACTTGATTTACTGTAGTTAGATCATTGCTCTGAAGATGCCCAGGAAGACTGGAGGAAAGTAAGAAAACTTAATGATCTAACTACAGTAAATCAAGTAATTCCAAAACTTTAGTTAAAAACTCATCCACCTCTTGATGCACATTGCTTTGACGGAAACTAAGCTACTGGTTTACAGTAAAACACAGAAGACCAATCATTCCCTCAAGCGTAGGGACAGTTGTAACAGTCTGGCACAATAGGGTCATGCAAACTACCTGATTTCCAGAACTATCATAATAAACATGTATTAGGAAACAAAAATCAAAATAGAAAAAGCATTCACTTACACTGGATGGTGTGCAGGAGCAACTTACATCTTTAGGATCTGAAATACACAGTTGATAGTGAAAACAAGCATAATGAGTATCTCTTAAAAACACTCAGCAGCAGCATAATTTACTGACAATAGACCAACAGCACAGATGCACACTTCTACCAGGACTACTTCTGTGTTAACCGTAGCTTTAGAGAAAAAGAACAGAGTGCTCCTCTGACCACATTAAGGGCTGTTCTGGGAGTCCAGCTCACTACAACATTCTAGTTAGATCTGCAGAATTTTTTACTTCCTGAGATAGGGTAGTTACAGTAAAATAAAACATTCATACTAATATCTGAGTCTATGCAGGGACAAGATGGGACATTCCTTTTTGAATTTCATCATTTTAAATCAAAAATTATCAGCTGACTTCTGTATTTCACAGCACAGAACAGGTTGAGTGGTAGCACATTCAGTTGAGACATTTTACTAAGACACACCTGAACAATTTAGAAAGACAGGGAACTAATGACAGGACAGAGGACGGAATTATGAAGTGTTACTCTCTCAGACAGGCCAGAGCCTGAGCATATAAACTCTTTACACATACACAGATTCTTCTTCATCCAGCGTTCCAGGAAGAAGTTCTTCAAGTATTGGCACAGCTTGATGAATATACTTTGCAGAGTCATTTAGCTTAAAGAGAGGTGTTCTTCACCCATCATAAGCCCTCCATATTTCTATCCCATTAAAGCACTTACGTTCAATAAGAAACAGGAAACAAACAATCCCCATCACAGCAATGATAACACCAGGCATCACAAAGGAGAGACCCCAGCATGTAGACACCCAATAAGCAGCAATTAAGGATCCCAAGATATTTCCCACTGAAGTGTGTGAATTCCAGATGCCCATGATCAAACCTCTCCTGCATTTAAAACAAACAAAACAGAAACATTTATTATTATTCCAAAAATAAGGACTACTATCTTGAGAAAAGTGTATCAAAAATGACTGTTCATCTGCACCATTAGTGAAATATTTGTAATCTTACTCTTCTTTGACCACTTCTTTATCCTACAATCTTTCATCTGGCAACTTCAGGCACCTTGAATGGAAGTGCTGTAAACATTCTGTGCAGGACAGAACTGATCCTGCATTTAATGGCATTGAAGGACACCACTAAGGCTTGTAAATTTCTGGATAGAGTTTCTTTGATAAAAACAAATACATAGATATCGCATAGCACGTGCACACCAAATCTGATGCTTCTGGGAATGAAAGTCCTCCCGCAAATGCATCGCGTTGATAATTGATGATTTCAGGATATGTTAGACTTATCGTGCAGAAGAAAACAATCTGTACAGGATAGGCAGAGCAAACTCAGTATTTTCTGATCACATTCTGGACCTGCGAAGCACTAGTAGAAGACAAGACCTATGTAAGGTTATCTAACAGACACATCAAACTGCTGCCTGCCTGGAAATCCCAGATTAGCTGTAGAAAAGCAATGGCTGAACTAATGCAAATGACAAAAATCCTTCTGAAGTCATGACAGTTAGCAGGTTTTCTTTTTCCCCTCCTAAGTCACAGGAAAAACAGCACTTCCTTCAGCAAGAGGTTCCCTGGCGCAGCCTCATTTGAACTAAACCAAATCTTTTCCTTTGACTGAAGACAAGATCCAAGAGGTCTGCTCATGTTTCACAGAATTTGTAGCAAAATGTATACAAGAACCAGATCACTGACATTCAAACCAGAGTCTGATGTATCAGTCCAAGAAGGAGCCTCACAAAGTAAAAGCTGTTGCTTTTGCACACAGCAAAATCTGAATAAACGTACGTATTTTGCACAGACTCGCGAGTTCTGTTCAGTATTTATTGTATGACAGTTAGCATTCACTGCATTTTGTAACACTGACCAAAAAGGGGCTATGCAGGGACTATAGAAAACCAGTCTGAGCCTACACCTTCTTAACCATCTCATGGTTTTATATAGAAAGCATACACTTAATTTTTGTACTCCCTTCTCTTGAACCAATTGATAATAACGTTCATTCAATGGTACGTACCTACAAGGGATGACACTACGGTAGCATTACTATATGTGGCATGAATCAACCATTATCACACAGACAATGGATTTAGCATGCAACTCTTGCAAAATTTATGGAAAACTCCTCTATGATGTGACAAAATAAATGTTATGAGTGATCACAATGCAGGATTAAGGAAAAAAAACACCAACACCTAGCATGATTTAAAGTGACAAAAAGAAAGGTTACATCAGTTGCCATATGTATTTTCTTTTAAGTTTTCAAGTTTCTGTGTGTTACAAAAAAAGGCACAAGTCAAAGACATGCTGAGTTACATGCTGACAACTGCTCTGAAGCACAAATGAAAAAAGAGATTCCACATTAAGATGGCATAACTGCCTTTATTAAAAGTGGGTTTAGACTGTTAATATTTGCAACATTTATTCTTAGTTCAATTCTGAAATATTTCATGTGAAAAACTAAACATCAGACTAAAGAGCTACCACAGAACATTGTTGTGACATGCAAGAGAATATTTCAAACTGATATAAACTAATCAGTGTAACAAAGGAAATTCTTCTCAAAAATCTACCTAACTGCTTGTTTCATCCCTCAGAAAACACTGAAGCAAAAGAAAGATAATTAAATTGACTATAGTATTACAGTCCAGATTGTACTGACTTGTACTTCCGATACTTTAGATTATGTATTATTTACCTTCCTTTTCCAAACCAGTTGCCAATACATGTAACGACACTCGGCCAGCCAGTAGTTTGCACCAACCCATTAGCTATCTGAAAGCATATAAAAATAATAATAAATAAGCATTCCCTGTAATAATTCAGGTTCCTTCACAATCTCTGCCGAGTGCTGCTTTGGGAAAAGGAAGCCTACACAAATACTTTGAATTTATAAATTTAGTATGGGGGTGTTGAAAGCATTCTTTTCCAAGAGTAAACAAATTATAATGTTGTGCAGAGATTCTTCCCTCTACCCATGTCTCTCCAATTATTTTACGATTCAGAACCTAAAAGACTGTAATTCAAATCACGCACCTACCAAAAATCACATTGCACTGAACTGAACAGAGAAATAAATTTCACACACTCAAACAGCAACATAGTATTTATCTCAATTTGACTACAGGGCAAAGCACATTTGCAATGAAACAGAGTGGAAAAAAAAAAAGAAAACTTTGGGTAAGACTGGGTAACTTTGAACACTGACTTGAAAATGCTTAATGGGTACCTGCAAATAAACTGAGAAACTTAATTACTATATTCAGGCCGAAGTAAGAACTTATTTCGGCTGCCACGTTGCACAGATCATAATCCTAACTCACCTCGACTCCTAAGAAGCTCCTCATCTAGAATCCCACATTAACACAAAGACCACAGTACAATGATCTACGCACCCAGCGAGCATGTGCACATGCACTGAAACAACCTCACTCTGCCCAACAAAACCCAGTCAGCTTGGTCATGTTCGACCACCCTCGGCATTACAGGATTCGCCGGTGACACCAAGCAGCGAAGCATCGGTGGAGACAATTGTCTTAACCCTAAAGGAGCCAGCTCCTGTCTTGGAAAACACAAGCCAAGAGTGCCAGGGCAGTGACATGGTTAAATGCATGACTTGATGAAATGGTTATAAAAGCTTCTTGCAGTGCCCAAGTTAGTGTCACTGCGTGCTGCGTTGCACAACGTCACGCAAACGTGCCAGCGGTGAAAGTGCTGCTGCAGTAACACGAAGGAAGCAGGTGCAGACCTGTCCAAAATGCCTTCCTAAGTGCTAATCATACCCTGGTCCTGACCTAAATTCCATTTTAGGTCAGTGGTAAATATTTTTGTGACACCTGATTAGATTTACAAGCTCTCTGGAAAAAACTCTCACAATGAATCTCGTTACAGAAGCTGCCTGTTCTCAGCTACACCAATGTGGGAGAATATTCATCAGCAGCAGTACAAACGTAATTTTCCCGCAGAGGAAGCCAGGATGCATCACTGAGGTCTTGGCAGACTGACAGAAGTAAATACCTTTGTTTTAAAACTCAACCACATCAAAGCTTGCAAAGATTTGATCACTGATTTGACACAGACTGAAACGTTTTAATTTGTTTTCAAAGATCTCTTCCACTAAAATAACATCTTTCAAAAATAAAACCGGGGGCTATTCTGCCTGTCATCATCAACAACATATGCCAGCATTTACTTCCTCCCATCCAGCCACCTAACACTGTTTGGGACTGAAAAAACCCCAATACAACACTAAACAGCACCATGGAAACTCAGTGTATCTAAATAACATCATGCCTACCTGGGCCATTATGTAAAACCACAGATTATGTATTTTATAGAAATAACCCAATCCAAACATTGCAGTGAAGAGTCCACTGGCAAGCATCCCGACTGTCAGATAGTAGCGGATAGGCAGCCGTTCTCCTATTATTCCACTTGGAACATGGAAGGAAATAAAAAGAAAGTCAATAATAAAAAGTGAGATCATACCCCCAGATCTTCATGAATAAAGACTATTTTACATTGTTTAATTCTGGCAGAGGAGTAACTTTACGTGCAAGTGCTGTTCTTCTTCACAGCAGCAAATGAGCAATTTATAACACTTGACAGAAAAAAAACTACAAACATTTAATGTTCACTAATTACCAAGTACTGACACCTGCACAACCATCTCAGGGAGATACTCACCTGGAGCACACTGGAATTCATTTACTTACAGAGACATTTTCCAAATGATACTTGTCTCCTTTCCTAATGATTCTAGTCATGAAGATTCTGATTTTAGTCAATAAAACGCAGCACCTCCAAGTAAAAGTTAACATTGCAAATTTTAAGCCATGATCAGTTTGATTTTTTTAGGAGGTGTCTTCTTCTACCCTTTGACTATAGAGAAAGCCGGGACAATCAGTCTACATGTGCAAATAAGAGGCTGATAAAATTTAAGGAAGTATATTCCAGCATATTTCTTCATACTCCACTGAAGAAAAGACAAACTACATTTTTTTCATTCCTGCAAAAAGATAATCAGGGTGGGTGCAGGTAAGAAGCTTTCTATGCCAGCAGTTACGATACCACTTGGGACTTGGGATGATGTGGTTTATCTTCCCCTCAGCAATCAATTTCTAACTCTCTTCACCAGAAACTTTACAGCTGGAACAGACAGTATTTCAGAAGTACAGTCTCATAAATCAACAGAAAACAGTAAAGCAGGTTTCCAACAGAAAGGTTTACCTTAAATACATTCCAACAGCATATGCACACAGAAACGAGTAATCCAGTGCTCCCAGTAACTGTTTGTAGTTGTTCTTATCTAAGAATAATTTTCAAAGCAAGTTATCAGTTTAAATGTACCAATAACTTCCCATCCATTTTTACTTATTACATGAAAAATACTAGCAAACATACACTGACACGTCATTTTCAACAGGCACTTTTAGATTTAAGCATACATTCTGCAAAACATTTTATTTAACAAAAAAATCCCACAACCTCTACAACCAACCCTTTTGCCAGCAACGTATTAGGAAAGTATTGGTAGGCCCGTTCTTAATGCCACCTTACTCAAAACAGCATTTTGTAGGAGAAAAAGCCCAATTGCTAACAATTTGCCATTTTTATAGGTCCCTAAACAAAAGAAAACTCGAACTTTAACAGACTTTATTAAAAGTGGAAATATGTGCTGCAAATGTGTGAGACCCTAACAGTCAAAATGACTGAAACAAAAAAATCCATCATCACACAGGCTTTTAAGGAATCAGCTAAATACATATTTTTAAATGGTTAAAGCCTTTTGTGTATCATTTTTCAACCACTTATAAGGCACAGAGATAGAAGCCCTGTTTAAAATAAAACAGATTTCTCCTCTGTATAGCAAATTACCACAATCGTAACTAAATGGGACTCGCAGGCAGGAGGGACTCCTCCCAGATGGCAACACCAAGCCTAGTCTCAAGAGACCTGAGCTCATAGCAAGAAAGTCAGTTTGCATATTCGCAAGGAGCCACAATTCCCACAATTTGAGAATAGTCACAGTTACTAGAGCATTCCTCTTTTCAGAGTTATTGCCAGCTTGCAATTAGGTTACCTAGAAAACAGAGCTGAAAGACCAACTCTAGAATATCACCCCCATAGGGGCAGCTTCACAATAACCTGGGTGGTCATGGAGAAAGGAGGACATTGGAGATCAAGAAGTTCTCCATGAAAAAAGCTAACACGTGTTTCAGACAAGCAAACTCAGTCTCCCCTTGGTCCAGGGGCAAGAAACAGCAACCACGTTTAACTCCATCTCAATACACTCCAAAACTTGAAAGACTAAATGATTTCATAGACTGATTACTTTGGAGCAGGCAGTTAATACACAATTTTGTCCCCAGAAAACCCAGAGCTCAGGTCTTTATCTTTGTAGAGAGTAGGACTTTTTAAATTAAAGAATAATTAGAATGGATGGCTAGACAGACTGGACCAGCACACTGACAAAATGGACTATTCTACTTTACTGATGCTCCTGGTAGTGATATAAGTGTCAAGGGATGATTCAAAATCCCTATTAAATTCAAATCTAATTTTAAGTGGGTAAATACTGTTTTCTATTTAAGTAGAAGGGCAGGTTCATAAGCCACTCAGTAAGTTGTAAACACCATTCTTCAGTAAAGTATCACATTTTTCACTATTTAAACAAGGAGAAAAATAGTCTTTCTGGCCAATACGGATTCTGGAAAGTTCCAATTTAGATAAACACCAAGTAATTTCATTTAAATGATTGCTGAACATGCAATTAAAATGGGAGAAAATTATAATGATTTGTTCTGTTCTTCATCCTTTTTCTTCCTTAACAGACATTTAAAGACAAATCTCAATTTCTGACTGAAAAGCGATCTACTGAAACCATCGCATGGCTATAACAAGTAAGATAACGGCAGATATTTATGTGACTTAAAGTAGGAGAGACTTCATAAGGTAAGTCACAACTTACCTTCCTTCTGAAAAATCAGTGAGAACGTGGAAAACAAAACACCTCTCTCCCATACACATCTTTATCTCTCCACACATGAAGAAGAAATAGCAAGAGGCAAATAATCTAATTACAAATACCAGCTCATTGTTATCAAAGAAAAAAACCCCAAAAACAAAATAAACAACCCTTACCAAATGGTTCCCAACCGCACTGAGATAGATTAGATGGCTTCTTGACAGGCTGCACCTGGGCAGCATATTCTTTGTAGGAGTTGAGTTCGACTTCATGTGAAGCAGCGCAATGCTTATGCAGCTCTCCCTGACACAGAGAGGAAATTTGAAAATAGTTTTTGTGACTGTAAATTCCCCTACAGCAACAAATTTAACAATTCCAGCTCTATATGTGGCTGCATCAAGCCCAGTGACATCAGTGGAATTGTTAACCATTATTAATCCTTTGGTATTTTGCTGGGTGAAGCCACCATTATAACAAAAGAGTTATTACACGGTTAGAAACAACATCCTATAGTGAACTGGTGTTTGACACTGCAGCATTTCAAAATTCTTCACTAATATCAAGCTACTTTGCCCATCATAACTCATCAGCTATATAAAACACAGCCCTGGAGGATTTGATTTTGAGTTAGGCGAGTGATATAGGCTGAAGATTAAACTAACAAACCTAGAATCAGACAATAGTCTGCCACCAGTTTCACTGGAAGCACGGTCCCAACAGCAGAGACAGCTTTGACGATGATGCTCAACAGTGCTTGAAACAGTCTTGTAAATGCCAGTAGGATTTTATCACATTTGACTTATCATTTACGAGCAACTTCTCTCAAACATATGAACGTCAACCTGTAAACTCTTAAATATCTATAAATAGATTAATTCACATGAGTTAAATGTAGGTATAGGTGTTTCAAGTCTTAAGTCCAACAATTAGACATATGTGCAATATTCTAGGTGTGGTGTCACTAAAGTTTATCAAGCAAATATCATCGAATACTAGCTTTGTCAGTTTTTCATCTTTTAAAGCATTCCAAGTTAAAGTTCAACATTGCAATTCACAAAAGGAAATACTGAAAAAGACAACTACTTCCGTGTTTGACGGGAACAGAAGGATGTTTAAACAAGGACACAAATTTGCTTACCTTAACTATACTAATAGGTTTCCTTGATAAATGAAAGCTGGCATACAACAAGAAAGTAAGAGAAAAAATGAAGGCTCTATACCTATAATGTAAAAAAAAAAAGTATGTATGAAGAGCATTTTAGCACTGAAAGCAAATTTGAATAAGTTATGTAAAACATTACGCAAGTCATTAGTAACCCTGGAATAGCGGAAGTCAACTTTTTTCATGTTCTCCAACAGCCTTAACAACCGCCCTACCAGTTATGCTGCTTTACAACACCTGCTCTGATCTGGCACTGGGAGGAAGCTCAGCAGCACATGTGTACGGGCAGGATGACGTGGCAGCGCTCAGAAGTCCACAACCTTCCTTTGGGGGCTATTAAAAGGCAGTTCAACTGTAAACATACTGATAACCAATTTTCACATTTCACCATCTCATCCAGTTTTCTAGTATGATTAGGATATAAATGATGGCTCTGCGAGTTGTTGGTTTGGGTCACTTCTTTCCTTACTGCTTCTAGGACTTTGCTTTACTTTTGCCTTCCTCTGTAACAGAAATCAGATATTTCTACAGATGGACGGGGGAATGACACTGACTGCACGTACTGTCAGCTGGAGCACACGAACACAATTAACCAACTCTGGGATCGGGAAGGAGTTTTCCCTAGTACCTCACTGACATCCTTGGGTCTTTCTCTGCAGCTCATCTGAAATAAAAGGGCATCCTAAACTCCCCATTACTGCGGAAGTTAAACAAAGGTAACAATTTGATCTACTCTATTCCCTACCTGCCGCACATTTCAACTGTTTAAAAAGGCATTTTGTGGATTTGTGCTTCTAACAACACCTGGAGACCAGAGTGTATACACTGGCTCCTTCTAGCCTGGATCTTAAAATTAACATCTGTAAGTAGAAGTACATATATACATAAAAAGATCTGACACCATGCAGCCTACTAGAGCCCCTACTTTTAAATTAACCTTTCTCAATAATTTTATTCCTTATAACCTTCCACATAAGAAGGGCCTTTTTTTATAGTTCTAACATATTCACTAGCGGAGTTATTCACTCCCATAACTGAAAATATCCTCACAAGCGCTAAAACTGAAACAACTGTCCTTTGCTGCTCTATTAGAAAGAGCATGTTGTAAAATTGCTCAGATGGGAAGTGCTTGGCCTTTCATTTGTTATTTTGTTTGTTATTCATACACAATTGACTCGGTATTCTGCCTTGGAAAGTACAAGAGCTGATGCCATCCAACTTCCAGAATTAGCTTTCCTTTAGCAAAGAAGTTTTTGGTTTTGTTCCGTGGGGCTTTTTTAAATTTTTTTTTTAAAATGCAGTAGCAAGAACTAAAACTATAATTCTCTAAGTCTACATGACACATCAAACAATGGTGGAGGAAATACACTTCTGGTTAAGAAAAGAAAGAGGTGTTCAAGATTAGCTATCTAAGGGTTTGAAAATAAAAATCTGAAATTTAACCCTTCAAATACATACCTTGCAAAAAAAAGAAAAAAGGCTTTACTCCCCAGCACACTTTACTAAGGATCTGTCCGAGTTCCCTCAGCAAAGTATCTCACTTTTTAAATGCACGTAGTATTTATTTATCATACAACAGACTATATTTTCTTGCTGTGTATATTAAGCAACAAAAAGGCAAAAATAGATCAAGGTAACAGTATCACCTTCCCCAGATACAAACTCACATTGTCCCAAACAAAGATCACCACCATACTTCAAAAGACTTACCACTGATCTCGTGAAAATGAAGTGATGAAGTGAATCCCAGGAGGAAGCCGAGCCATCTACTCTACAGCTGGTATCAAATTTTAGGCAACGCAGTTATGTACTCGTGACAACGTTATCTGTTCTTCAGAATGCCTAACAAGGATCCTCCCAAAGCCCTGCGATGTCAGGCTGTTAACAAACGTGGAAGATATGCTGCTGAATTGATCTCCCTGTAGGTTCTTTTTCTTGTACCTTCAGGCACAACGTGGCAAATTCTTCACTCTGCCTTTGTTAATTGCTGATCTTCAAATAAGATAAGAATATTTATTTATCAACTTCTCAAGTTATTGTAATATTTTTTAATTGTAACATTTGAATCAGCAATTATCTATTTCAGAGACAAGTAATTACCATAACTAACCTTCTAGAGATCAAAACTGTAACAGAGAATTTTAAGCCATTATAAATCACAGCCTGTTCTGAATTTTATCAGCTATAATCTATTTTGAGAAGTCAACACAGTATAAAGCAGTAAGGACACAAAGGAAAGACACATTTAGAAAATGATCCAAAGGCAGCTAACATCAAAACACTGTTTTTGTCTCACAAAGACTACAAATAGGCAATCTCCCACCTTGCAAAGATCTATCTTAACGCATCAGAAACATTCATGAGGTTGAAATTTGTTCAAAAATTACTGTAGTGTTTTCAGCCTGGAACAGAGACTCCTCCAGCTTGAGAGTGGGTGCTGCTGAACAATGCTGCCAGCAAGACTTGACCAAGCACTCCCTCTTCCAGCCTGATGCCCCTGCCCCAGTATTAGTACTGCACAAAGCACTTCATCGTCAGAAAGCTTGGAGAAGGGAAAGAAAAAAAGCAAAAAGCTTCTTTCACCACCTGAGCAGCACAAGCGAAAATGCAGGCTCATGTGTATACGTGACACCCAGGGAAGAGCGAGACTGTGGCAGAATCGATTCAGTTTGGTTTAAAATCTTGTAGAGTTCCTCCTCTTTGTTCAAATTTGGGCCGAAGCCCCTCGACACAAAAAGACACGCAGTACCCTTTATCACAGGTACTGCGACAGGAGCCAGCTGCACTGTTACTTCGCAGCAAGTCTGAGCAAACTGCGAGTAAGACAGATGACAAAAGGCACTGTAGACAAAAGGTGTGACTTCGACTCAGGCACAAAAGCCCAGCCTCCTTGTGTGCTAACAGCAATGCCACCTCAGTAGAGGCCAAATAACACACCAGGGGCTGCAATGTAACCCCTGCCCTCCTCGTAGCCCAGCCAGTGGGCTTAACACCAGCACACATCAGTGCCATACTCCTGGTGGGAAGCTGGTAGGATACGGGACTAGATTTCTTGGCAAACAACAGAAGGTGAGCTAAAGTAAAATCTCCTTTGAATAAAAAACACTTGGCAAGACCACTGGTTTCTCTTAACTTCGGAATTTTGGAGGCTGCCACAGGGCAGGCAAAGGTGTGAGCATCCCTCCTCTCATCTTTATTGCCCCATCTTACTACAGAAATCAAAACTACTCCTTAGCCAGCCGAATGATAACGCCAAAGAGTATCTGCTGCAAAGCTGGCAACTTGAAAGCTTCACTATCCACATAGGCTTTATCCCCAGGAATGGAGGAAAACTACCACCACTTCACATCATGGAGTATCCCACCAAAGATCAAGGGTCTGGTCCTTTAAGCCAACACATTTTTGTCACACCTTTATTTTTGCCACAGTGTTCTGGTTCAGCTTAACATCTCCTTCTCCTAAAAGTGAGCTGACCTGTTGATCCTGTTTGGCCTGTTTCACCTCCTTCCCCACCACAACAACCCCCACCCCACTCCCTGGCTCTCAATCAGATAGCTGGTTGTGCAGTTCATCAAACCCCATCATCATTCCCACCCTACATGAGCTTCCCCACCTCCTGTCTGAGGTTGCAGAGGTTACGGAAAGAGCAACCCTACACCCTCCCCCCCCCCCCCCCCTGCCGCTGCAGGTCCCTGCCTCCCTCTGTGTGAGACCTTGTAGTCACACAGCCATGGTTCAGATGGCTGAAATCATCAAAAAAAAACTGTTCTGAAAAACAGCTGGTCCAACAGACAGTATTAACTTACCCTGTGGCCAAAAAACTGCTACACAAGATGAATCCAAAGAACAGCAAGAGCATAAAAGTGGGACTGCCCCTTACAGACCCGGCTGGCTAGTTAGGTCAGCTGAACTCTAGCTTCAACAACTGTTTGTCAGTTTTCATGTTTGGTTGAAATGAGGTGTGGGTAGCTCCCATAGGAGGAGAAAGGTAAGATGGAAAAGAGGTGAGTAAATTTTTCTTGCAGCAGTAACAGATTTCAGGGTGATCCCAGACCCTACTTCCCTTCTTTCACAGTTATCCCAAACACTGAAATTACTATTTAACTGACCACACTAAGTGAGCTGATGGAAACATCTACTGGGGAAAAGCCAGCAAAGGCCAGCAAAGCACAAAAATATTTGAACAGTTTGTGTAAAATATGAGACAAAGCAATTGTAATAATGGAAAAGAAACTGCTTTACAGGTTACTATATAACAGCTTTAGTGTAAGCAGAAAAATACTTCAACACAGCTTACAAAAGGTTTCAATGCTAAGTGGTCACACAAGGTTGCACATCTATGCACCTGCTGGACAGGTCATACTCACACCTCCTCCTAACAGAGTATCCTTGCCATAAATCCAGAGTCACAGAGCCCTAGCAAAAATGACTGGACTATCAGCAGCTTTTAGAGAACTGCACCCTAAATCTATGACAGGGGCTGTTTTCATTTTATCTACTGCAGGCAGAGACATGACTTCTCATTTACTCGTCAGCAACTTATCTCTCTCCCCATATATCCAAAAGGTCCTCTGACATTCATGCGCTTTTAACAAACAAGCAAAATTTGCCCTACAAAAGCAAAGAAACTTGTGGCAACAAAACTTCTGAACAGATTATAAAGATTGCATCCTACTGTAGATTAAACCAGATTTAAAAACCAAGCTGTCCTTGAGAAATTACATCAACAAGGTGCAACACATAACCACTAGTTTACCACTACATCATTTGCATTTCCATTTTACTAACGAAGCTCAACGACAAATGCCAATTCAATCACTCAAACTGGTTTTATGCTCTTTCATTTTCAGCAACCTTTTTACCTGACAGCAAAGCCAAATACTTCCGCTTCCTCCTTGTTGTACTGCAACGTACAAAGCAATATTCCGGTACTTATATTGAATCCATATTTACCTTCCAGACTTTGTACTGCTTCTTCAGGCTTCCCGCTGTGCTGGCTAAAACACAGCTCCCTTCCTGTTTCAGGAAAACAGAGTCATTCCTGACTGGTCTTTCCCACTGCAAATTCTGCAAACCTTGGCTCAGCTGTGCCGTGGCACTGGAGAGACAGCATGAAGCACAACTCCTGCCTGGCCCCTGCCCCGTTACGCATAGTTCCCCTGGAGGGCAGACATTAATTCTGCGTATGCACAGCCACCAGGGTGTTCTTAAGGACTCGGAGGCCCTTTAGACACATGTAAATCAAATACATATTGTGCTTCATACCCAGCAACTCTGCACCTGAGCCGTAAACTGCCAAATCCATCAGCTTTGGACCCCAAATGGTCATATTCTTTAATACTGAAAGCAGAAACAGTTAATCCTGGCTTAATGACAGGAGGACGAGTCCTTATGAACATGCAGGGAGCCCACACCTGCGTTCCAGGACATGGCATTACCAACCGCTCCAGCACGTCAGATGACCAGCCGGGCCAGCCACTCAGCGTCCCTCAATGTCGAGCCTGGGCCAAGGGCAGCACACCCTCGCCCTGCCATCCTCCGGGGCCAGGCCAGGACCCGAGCGAGAAGGGAACACGTGCCTCTCCCTTAGCGGGCCCTGCCCAGGGGTACGAGGCGCTCCGGCCTCCAGGAGCCCTGGGTCGCCCTCCGCGGAGAGACTTCAGGGCAGGTCAAGGCCAGCCGAG